TTAATTTTCACTATGTTTTATATATAAATTTAGTCTCTGAGTCATTACTTTTAATCACCACTGTAAAGCTTATTAATAATATATTTGATTAATAAATTTGAATTTAGATTATAAAATATTATATTAAAGTTAGTTTTAATTTATAATATATAAAATATCTTTATATTATAATTAAAGATAATTTTTTAATTAATTATAATTTATAATTACTAATAAAAGAGTTATAATAAAATTATATTAATTAATTAAAGAATTATAATAGAGTTATAGCTAGTTATAATTTTATTACTAATTATAATAATAATCATAATTATTTTTTTGATTTTTATATAAAAAATAATAATAATAAATAATAAAATTTATTTTATTAATAATTTATTATATATATAACTTTAAAAGTTTTATATTTATTAATATTTTAAGATTAAATAAAGATATTTTTGTTAATAATTTTTTATTAATTTATTAATATAAATATATTAAAAAATCTTTTTAATTTAACTAAAATAATTATTTTATTATAAATATATATCTTTATTATATAATTTAGATATATAATAATTAAAAATAAATAATAATAATAATTTTAAATATTTGAAAATCTAAAATATCTTATAACTAAAGTATATAAAATTTTATATGACTTAAAATTCTAATACTTATTTAAGTTATATAATATATATTATAATATAACTATAATATTACTATATAATCTGACTATTCAGAAGTTATTATAATTAATTTAAGATAAGATCTAAAATAAAAATTATTTTTAAATCTAAATTTTTTTTAGTTATTTTAATAAGTAAATTTGCTTATTAAAATAAATAGTTTAAAAAATAATAATACTAAAAGAAAAGAGTAAATCATATAAAACTAATAAAAAATAAAAAATAAATTATATAAAAAAGTAAAATATTAAAAAAAATAAAAAAATAAATCATATAAAAATATAAAAAATAAAGATAAAAGAGTAAAAATATATAATAATTATTAAAAAAAAGTAATAATAAAAAAATAAAAAAAATATATCTTTTTTTATAGAAAATATTAAAAACTATTATTAAATTAAAATTATTATATAATAATTTAATAAGTTAATATAATATCTATATTTATAAAAAATTTAAAGAAGTTTACAAGTCTTAAATTAAAAGTAAAATATATAATATTATTAGAATAAAAATAAATAAATAGAAAAAAATAAAAAAATAAAATATTTCTTTAATATATAAAAATAATATAAATAAAAAAAATTACTTAAATTATAATTTATTAAAAATATATCAGAAAAAGTTAATATAATTTATCTTTATTATATTATCATATATATTTTTTATAATATATAATAATTTTTTAATTTAATTATAAGATAATATATCATATATTAAGTATTCTAATCTGAATTATTTTTTAATATATATTTAAATAAAGAATTAATAAAAAATAAAAATAAATAATATTATATAAAAAGATAATATAATTAAATAAAGTAATTAAGTTTCTTGGCAGTTAATCTGTTTTTTGAAATAGTATTTTAATATTTTTTCAAGATATATTATTTGATATTATAGATTATACTTCTTTATAGATATCATATATAAAATATATATTATAACTTCATTCATTAAATGGTCATTCATCTTGTAACAAACTTGTATATAAGCATTTCTTAACTATAAATATCTGTAGTTATAGTATATAATTTTCCATTTAATATCTTTAAACTGATATAAGAAAGAACTTCACAAATTTCTTGATTAAATTTTCTATATTTGTTGAAATGCTAAGTCCAAAGTTAATAATTTGGGAATAATTTTTCATTATTATTATATTTTCAGGATGAGATCATATGTATTTTATCTCGTATAAATTTGTTTTAAATTATATAATGATTTCAACACAACTTCAAATTTTTCTAGTCATTTAAATTTATTTTTTCATGATCCCACTTTCAGTTATAATCTAATGGTCATCCAATTAAGTTATTGCTTTATAAATTGTTCCAAAATCTTCTTTTACAAGATCTTTAACATTGGTAAATCTTTCAGAAGAGATCTATTTGAATAATTTAACAAATCTATTATTTTTTATTGCATTCTTTTATTGGATTATCAATATCTTTATTTCCGCTAGACAATTCATCATTACAAATTTGTTTGTGATGATAGAAACATGGAGAGCAGCTTTTTCTTCTTGACACTTAGTACATCTACTACAATCATGAGTATTATGAACTAAAAACTCATCATAGTATCCAAAATATCGACAATACTAACATTCATTACAATGATGAGTATTCGATTGTTCATTTATAAAATGCGTTTATATCGAATCTATACATGTATGCAATGATTCAAATTCAAAAATGATTGTATTTGAATTTTTTACAATGATATTTTGTTTTAATATAAAGGAACAAATCGAAATTAGTTTATTTTGAAATTTTTGACACATTCCAAATTAATTGGAATCACAGTTAGATTTAGCTATGATTAATTAAAAAACTTTATTATATACAAAGCAACTCTTGATATAACGACTCTTCGATATAACGAAGTCTAATTAAAATCGCGATATAATGAACTTGAGTTCAGTAGCAATTTATTATAAACCATATAATAATTCCGCTCGATATAATGTATAATGACGTTTTTGAAATTTTTACATATAGACCAACTACTTCGTTATATCAAGAGTTGCTTTGTATTAGCGTCAAGAAAATAAAATTCTAAACTTTATTATATATTAGCCTTAAGAAAATAAAATTCTATGTAAATAAATAAAATTCTATAAAAAATACATAAAGCACATTTTTATGTACAATCAACAAAAAGACACGCTGAATTATATATATATATAAATTCCAAAGCAAAAATCAACAATAACAAAATTCCCCTCACTACTTGCTTTGAACTACAAATCTAACAATAGATTATCACCGTTTGTATTGTTTCCAAGATTCACAATATCCAGGGCGTAAGGATTAGAATCTAGTCCCCCCGGATTTCTTGACGAGCCAGCATCTACATTTTGAACTGGTAAAGACGTAATTGGATCTTGATATTGACGATTCAAAACTGGCGATGGGATTAAAAATCTCGGTTTACTGTGATGTATAAATGTTTGTGGTGATTTATGATATATAGAGGACAGACTAGCTATATGAAGTAACAGTTCGTCAAGGAGTGCAGGTTCCATATTATCAGTTTCTGTGGAGATTCTTGGTTTCTCGGATAATACGACTGCTTTGGCAGCGGTAGGATCTGTTGACAACAAGCGCCAATATATGTAACCTCGATCCCGTAAATCAGGGTTATCTACATCTTCGGTTGCCCATTTTAAGACTTTGGGAACAAGGTCTTTTCCCGCGGTTGGTCTTTTTATGAAAAGCTTAACGGTTGCAGTGAGCAACGCCAATTGCACCTCGACAGGTTCATCGAGGAAAGTATACAAGAAATCGTCCAGCAATACATCAGAATTTTCAATCCGATCCGCGTATTGGCCTATAATCCAAATCATTGCTGCTTTTGCTTCCGGTTCATCCAAATTATCCAAATTCTCGCAAAGTGTTCCAATTATCCGTTCGTATTGATTTGGGTATTTGCGGAAAATGTCCTTGATGACGACTATCGCTTCTTGAACCACATAATTCACTTTGGTCTGAATTAATTCCATGAGTGCCGCGATACATCGATCGGCAGTTTGTTCAATTTTTACAGCCAGGCGACCAATTGAACGAACTGCTTTGCGAACAAAGTCAACGTCCACTTCTGTGGCATACTCTTTTAATTCTGATAATACTTGATCTACATTAGTAGCATTAGCCAGACGAAACATAATTTCCAGTTTAGCCAATTTGACATAGATTGGATCATTGTATTTACAAAAGAAAACCTTCATATCATTGCGCAGAACTTCCGGCCTTCGTTGGATAATCAACAGTATATTACGAAGTGCGACATATTGCACTTCTGGCCCATTAGAAAGAAGCGTAACCAATGGGGGTGACAACTTACGACACATACTAATGATTTCATCCTCTTTTGTCATATAGTTCATAAAATATATTATAACTTTGACGGCAGTAAGCACGACACTGGAATTAGCATGCTGCAACCTTGGTGCAATAAGTTCCGATAATAATTCAGCATCACCAACATCTTGCGGTACAAACGACATCAAAGCTTCCAAGATATAGGTTTGTCCCCACTCAGAACATTCGTTAAGCGCGACCACCAATTTGGTAGTGACGTTCATATTCAACTTTAGTTGTATGTTATCTGATCTTTCCGAGATTTCTGTGAGAGCAGCCACAGCATTTGCTACGACCGTCGGATTAGAGTCCGCCAGCAAATCACGCAACATATCTATAAAACCATCACTTTCCACTAATAATCGATCATACATGTACAGCTTTGCCACAGTTATCGCAGCAGTTTTTCTAACGTACGGGTCTTGATCCCGTAAACAATGACGAAGTGGATCAATTAACGCGTCGACCACTTTCTCAACATTGATATATCCCATCGTTCTGATGGCTAGTGCGCGTATCAACGGATTTTGGTCCTCAGCGTCTTTGACAAATGTTGGAATGGCCATTACAGCCATGTCTGGTTTTGTTCTCGAGTAATTAATCAAATATAGATATACCATCTTTTTGATTTCTAACACTGGTATCTGCATACAATTTATTACATCTTGAAATAAAGAAGACATGTCATTGCCCATTGTCATGTTGGCCACAATCTTTTTTAAAACTGTCTTCTTCTTTGTGTGTTGCCGGTCTTTTTTGTCTGAATTGAGCTCGGCGCGAAGTTCTTGTATTTTACCTCGTTGAAAGTATTTTGCATCCGACATTTTTATTGTAAAACCTGTGTATTTCGCTGAAACTTGAATATCGATATTTGAATTATCAATGTAGATCAATTAATCCATCCATCTTATTGGCTGGATCTATGAAAGATTCGCGGTTTTTCTTGCCAAATCACTAAAAAATAATGCCTCCAAAAATACGGCCAACCCTTCCAAATAAAATACAAGAACAAATAGAAGCTCAAGGTAAACTTTTTGTATGACTAGCTAATTCTTTTGTGGAAACTAAAATGAGGATATTATAGTAATCAAAATCTTGAATTTTGAATATCGATACAAAAATCAAAGGATCAAAAGATGACACCAGAAAATTCACCAAAAAATTCAAAGTTCGAGAAAAAACGCGAAAAGCTAAACGTAAACAACAACGATTAGATAAAAAACGCAAAAGGGTTATTATTGTTTTTTAATTTAATCTATAACGATGATGATAAAAATTAGCAATTAAAAAAATATATTTTTCTTCGATCGGTCTTAATTAAAGAATCATAGCCAAGCGGAAAAAGATGATTCGGAATTATCAGTTGCTGCAAAACGCCAAAAAACCAATAACGGCAAAAAAATCGTGAACAAGGATAAGAACCCCGAATCACCACAAAAACCAAGGAAATCTAACAAACGGGATCATGATAATGATCACGAGGACAATGAGGTCAATGACATTACTCCCAAGAAAAAGCAAAGTCTTGCAGGAAAGAAGCAAAACTCTTTGGATCCTGATGAACGACAGATGCGACGACTAGAGAAAAAATTAGGAATAAAATCTGGTCGAAATATATCTAAAGTTTTACATGACGACGGATTAGATGGTATATTTTTTGCACTTCTATTGATTTTTTAGGGTCTCTTTTTTAATCCTCGTATTTAATATTTTTTGAACATAGATTTGTTATCCGGATTTGAGATTGGCTCGAAAAAATTAAACCAATTTGATTCGAAAAAAAAAGATAAAGATGTAATGGATACAACGGATGAAGAAGAAAATGATGAAGAGAGTGAAAGTGAATTGGATGATGAGAATGAGAACGATGAAGAAGAGGATGAGGAAAGCGATCAAGCAATTTCAGGTGATGATAACGATCGAGTTGCTGACGAAGAAAGTGAAGAAGAAAAAGAAGAAGAGGAAGAAGAAGAAGAAGAAGAAGAAGATGATGATGATGATGAAAAAATAAATCAAGGTTCTTTCATTTTTTATATAGAGGTATTAATTTAAAATTTTATTATTAAATTTTTTACTGATATTAATTGATTTTATTTATAGTTTCTTCAAAAAAATATGTTCCACCTCATTTACGCGAGTCCAATAATGATGCTAAAGAAGAATTGATTAGGATACAAAGACAGTTGCAAGGCTTACTGAATAGGTAAATATGTAAAAAAATTTTTTTTAAGTGTTGCTGGTAAAAACTTAATTTTTACACATGCAATTCAATAGGCTTAGCGAAGCAAATATTGAAAGTATTGTAACGAGCGTTGAGAATTTGTATCAAAAGTATAGGCGGCATGGTAATTTATATATATTTTTAATTCGATTCAAGTCGATTCGATTTTAATATCAATCATATTTTATGATAAATAGACGTGACCGCCACCATTACTAATTTGGTACTCAATATTATATCGTCTAAATCTAATCTTTTGGACCAGTTTGTTACTCTTTACGCGACATTTATTGCTGCTTTATATAAGATTAACGGGATTGATTTCTGTAAGTGAATTTGACATAAAAAGATTTATTTTATTATTTATTAATTGAACAAGTTATTCACGAAAGCATTTTGTTTTCAAAGGTGCACATTTTGTGCAAACATTAATCGAAGAATTCGAAAAATTTCATAGTAAATACAGTAATAATAATAATCTTTCCAAAAAGCGTGATACTGTTAAAAATAATCAAGACGATAATACCACAGAAAGTGCCGGAGAAATAGGAAAAGAATGCACGAATCTCGTGCTCTTAATTTCCGCGTTATACAATTTTCAAGTAGTTTCGTGTGTTTTGATATACGATCTAGTAAGACTATTTATCAAAGATTTGACAGAATTGAATGTTGAATTGTTGCTAAAGGTTATTAAAAGTAAGTAAGATTAATGAATTTTATTCGTATTTTTCAATAAAAATTTTATGTTTATGTTGTACACGCGTTTTATATTAGGTTCAGGTTACCAACTGAGACAAGATGATCCATTAGCATTGAAAGAAATCATTCAGCAAGTTATGTATGAAATTAACAAAAAAGATCCTTCGACAATTGGGTAAATATGTCTTTATGCTAAAACTGATAGTATATTATATACGTTATTTATTATTTATTAATGCTATATACGTCATCATCAAATATTGAATAGATCACGAACTAAATTCATGATTGAGACAGTTACAAATCTAAAGAATAATCGCATGAAACAACAACAGCATACAAATGCTCTACCGAATAAAAATAATAGGAATAGTAGTAGCAGTAATGTAGATAACAACAGTAATGCGATGAGAATGAAAAAGTTTTTAGCGAATTTAAGCAAAAAAATTCATGGTAAATATTTCAGAATTTTATTTTAATTTTCCTAAATCTTTTTTGTATATTTATTACGAATGGATGGATTAATCGGATAAATCGTTTTCCCATTTAATGAATAAAAAGTACAAGGGACCGAGGCATTACGATTAAGCTTGCAAGATATTCATTCGATTGAAACAAAAGGTAAAGAATTAACTTTAGGATTTACTTAAATTTTTCAATGTATTAATTTTATCTTTTTTTTTCTTATCCACTTCTAGGAAAATGGTGGCTTATTGGATCATCATGGACCTCGCATACCGACAATAACAATAATAATGAAGCTACACAATTATCAGTCAATAAGAATAATAACGATAACATTGAAGCGTCTTTACTCTTATTAGCCAAAAAACAAAAAATGAATACTGATGTGCGACGAAGTATTTTTATTGTATTGATGAATAGTGAGGTACACCATGAAAAAATGTATAATGTATAAATCATTGCTTTTTGTTGATTAATTTATATTCCTTATACTAAATTAGGATTTTGTGGACGCATTTGAACGTCTATTGAAACTCAATCTTAAGGAAGTTCAAGAACGAGAAATTCCTCGTGTATTGATCCATTGTTGTGGGAATGTAAGTGGTTTATCTTTTTTTTTTCACGTATATATTAAATCTCAAGTTCACATTTATATAAATTAATACAGGAAAAAACACACAATCCTTATTACGACCTTCTAGCAGAACGCCTTTGCGCACACGACCACAGTTTCAAAATCACATTTCAGTACTGTCTCTGGGATTTCTTACGCGAGTGTGGTGAAGATGAGGTTGGCGGGATGGAACTATTAAAGAAGACTATTAACACGGATAATGATTTTGAAAGTGGAATTGGTGATAAAGTACCAGTTAGGAAAATTGTTAGTTTGGCGAAACTTTACGCGTGGTTGTTGGCATGTGGACAGCTGTCGATTGTTGTTTTAAAAGTACGTATATAATAATGAATTTATTGCGATTCGATTCTTAGAAAATTCTATTTTTTTTTATTTTGAAATTACACTCTCGCGCGCGCGCGCGTGTGTGTGTATACACCTTACTAATGAATAAATTTAATTATTGCTAGACTCTCTCATTTACAAAATTAAAATCACAAACACGTTTATTCCTCCGATTACTAATCACACACACGATAATTCTATCACAAAGGAAACAAAATCTAACATCTACCAAATCCAAATTTATCGTCAATAGTCAAAAACGCCATCATCTTAATCCTAATTTAATAGCAACCATTTTTAAAAGAGCAATTCCTAATCCGGCATTGTCACAAGGACTTTTATTCTTTACGCAGCAATTTGTGATGAATTCGCAAATGTTATCTTCGGAAAAGGAAAAAGGGGTGATCAATGTGGAAGAAGAACAAGATATGATAAAGTGGGGATGTAAAGTTATTAAGGACGTTCTTAGTGGCAGGCTTGGCAGCTAACTCGATGTGGGGAAGAAAAATAGATCGTAGCGATTTGAGGATTTTTTAATAAAAGTTACGTCATTGCACTTTCAAATAAATGCTTATCATTTATGTATGCATCATGTTTATCGAAAAATCAAAATTTTCTAACTTCCAGTTTCGAGAGTGTCGCTTTGTAATTTTAGCAAAGGAAAATTATATTATACACGTTTTACACGTAAACTCGATATAATAAACTTACCCGTTTCATTCGTGAAAATTTCCGAAAAATCCGTTACATATAGAAGGGTTTATTAATAATCCGTTCTGAACTGCAATCCGTTATATTGAGCTTTGACTTATCGTCCGTTATATCGAGAGTTTATTCTGGCAAGCTTTACGTGTAAATAAAGAAACATGAATCTCGGTCCAATTCGGGAAACGGGAGAGTCGAGCTCCTCATCGAATTCTTCAACTACTTCTCTAAATACGACACAACATGCAAATAACAGCAACAATAACAACAGTAGTGGTGCTTTGAGTAATAGTCTTCCAGGTCTGTCAAAAGAACGCGTCACAAATTCTTTTATTCTACGCGTTTTCGAATTTAGTAAATAGAAATCTGTAAATGCTGTAGAAAGGAACGAAGCATGGTCTACCACGCTTCAGCAAACACAGACCAATCAACAACAGCAGCAGTCCCTTTCCTCACCTTACCGAACTCAGCGAACAAATAGCGGTAACTCGAATTCCTCGTCACCTTTAAATCTATCTTCGGCATCATTCTATCAATCGATGGAACGTAATCAAACGATATCATCATCATCATCATCAACAACAACATTTTCTTTAAATACCTTACACGAGAAATCACATTCAACTGGCTCAATACCTGCCAGTATCAAGGATTCAGCAGCGAGTAGTTTTATTAGTAGTAACCCTCAATCAATGATGTCTTTCACTACTCCTCATAAAAATTATCCGTTTGAAGCCACATCGGACTACAACAACAGCAAGATGGAGACAATTAAAGATAAATTAGGACATCATGATGGATGGCACACGTTGTGTGCTAACGTGTTGCCTCTATTTAATGGGGAAGGATTGAAGATGTATATCGAAGACTTAAATGAATTGTTAAGGTCACTAATAACGCGCGTGTTAAAAAAGGATCCATTTTTGTATCGTATTCACAGCTAATTTAAACTATTATGAATTCATAATTAGGGAGTGCATAAGAGACAATACACCTGAATCACTATACGGTAATATAAATGAATTATTGGCGACTGGAATGTCTACCTTAAATAGCAAATTACGCGATGTTCCTGATGAAAAACTTGTTTCGCGTCTTAATGAACTTTGGTCATTTTACTTTGGAACCGTGATTCCTTATTTTGAAGGTGTATTTCTCCCATTGCAAATGCAAGCCAACAATAATACTACGATAAACATCGCCTCCCATAATACTAGTAACGGCATGTTATCATCAACTAGCACAATTGTAACAACTACTCCTACCAATACATTCACAACAACATCAAACACAAGCATTAATGAAGAGTTTAGTGTAAGAAGAATGGTTTTGATGAGCTTTCGGGATCAAGTTATTTTACCGATGGGCGATCGCGTTGATGGTATTGATCAGGATATTCTTTAGGGAATTCCTTTCTTTTTTCTATAATTAATCCCGTATTTCGTTATATTGTAGACGCGTTCAACAAGCTATTTCATGATTTTGACTCTGGTATTCCAGTAGCAGATACGGCTGCACGTATGCTGCAAATGACATACATTCTGTCTTCAATCCTGTCGAATGATGAGAAGCAAAGCCAAATGGACCGAATATTAGCCAAGCTAAAAAATAATTGGTAATTTTTATTCACCTTTCATATTTGTTAATATCTTCTCCCTGGAATAATTTACTATCCTTTTTTACAATAGGAAATTATTTATGCGAAGAGATCGTAGAGGGTTTATTGGAATGCCTTCTACTACAAATACAACTACAAGTGTGAACGCGACAACAATCACTACTACCAATACGTCGGCTGCATCGTCTCCTGTTGAATATAGCAGTGCTGTGACTACTCCCACTACACCAACACCCAATGTTGCAGGAATTAGTGGTACTGTATCCGGCATTGGTATATCTGCGACTACGAGTCCATCGCAGTAATAGTGACTTGCCTTCTTTGTGTATGGGTCAAAATAGCATTATTTGCATTCTTGCTACAATCGGTAGTTTCAACAAATCTAGCATTACGAAAAGGATTTTGTTCGAAAGAAGACCTTCATCGGTGCTTTTATCACACCAGACTTATTTATTTTTTCATTTT